GGGCGCTTCAGCAACATGGAGAGACGAACGTTGAATCGGGCCGTGCTGGGCTCAGTCCCGCGCGCGCGACTCAGACCCTGATATTCGTCCTCATTGACCGCCCCCCCGCGTTTGCCCGCCCCACGAGTCAGCCCGTTGCACTATTTGGTGATCGCGCTGTTAGTGGTCCTCCCGGCTCTCTCTGTCATTATTCTCCGCCTTCATTTCCTGTCCGTAGCGTGTCCGCCCACCTTCTATCAGCTGCGGCATGGGTCTAACAGGAACTTCCAGACCCGTCCAGAGATGGGGGGGTGGGTAATGGAATGTTCGAGGCAGGCCCAGCGGTGGCCACGACAGCGCCCCATGAGGCCCAAAGTGGCCCCAGAGCCGCCACCGAAACCTCAACCCTAGGGATTTGTCAGGACATCGGGGGTATGTGCCTTCGTCCAAAGAAGGAAAAAGGTGCCCATTCCTCTACCCCTTCTCCCGTTTTCCCTTTTTGGGGCCTCCTGGGAGGCCCTCGTCGCCACCGCTGATTTCGCTTCGAAATCTTGGTCAGAAGGCACCCTGGGAGAGGCCCGCGGGGTATCAGTATTGGTTCCTTTTGGTTCCCCCATTCGTTTTCACCCTTTCCTCCCGCCTCTACACCCCCCCGCTCCTCCAGCGGCCCATGGAAGCCAGGATTCTGCAAACCAGAACGCTGCCAGACCCAGCGGGAGAGAACGAACATGGGAGAACTCGACGAAGAGTCGATCGACACCACCCCGCCTACGATCCGCCAGGCCGCAGGTGGGTCGTGGGTGGGGCGGTGTCGTGGATGGTCGCGAGGAGGCAAGTGCCTCAACTTTCAACATCTTACAGTGAGCGGCTTGAATAAGGAACACTTACTTTTCAAGAGGGGCTCGGTCGTTCCTTCAGTTTGCATATGTTATGTGTCGTTCCTTATGCGCTATACCTTATTTACCGTTCCTCCAGCGTTATTCCTTGGGCACAAAAGGGGCTTCGTTCCTTATTTATCGTTCCTTAGGTCAGGCCGATGATTGTAGGGTCGTAGGCGGGGTGGTGTCGCTTGGTTTCTGGTCCGCGAATGGCTCGACACACGGCCGCAGCATCCTCGGGCGCGCCGACCTCCTGGCTCGTCGGGGTCCCCGCCCGCAGAGCCCCGCCTCGGCGGCGGCGCCGAGGTGCTCAAGCTCACCGGCCAGGACGGCCCCCCCCCTCGTGGGTCGGGAAGCGGGGGGGGACTTAGCGTCGCTCGAGCGCGTGGACTGCGCGTGTGAGTGTGTGTGTGTGTGTTAGTGTGTGTGTGTGTCTGTGTGTGTATATGCGTATGCGTGTACGTGTGTGTGTGTGTGTGTGTGCGTGCGCGCGTGCGTGCATGCGTGCGTGCGCGCGTGCGTGCGTACATTTGCGTGTATGTGTGTATGTGTGTGAGAGTGAGTGTGTTTGTGTGTGCGTGCGTGCGTGCGTGCGTGCATGCATGTTCGTGCATGTGTGAATGTGTGAATGTGTGTGCGCGTGTGTGTGTGCGTGTGTGTGTGTGCGTGTGTGCGTGTGTGCGTGCGTGCGTGCGTGCGTGCGTGCGTGCGAGCGTTCGTGCGAGCGTGCGTGCGTGCGTATGTTTGTGTGTTTGTGTTTGTGTGTGTGCGTGTGCTTGTGCTTGTGCGTGCGTGCGTGCGTGGGTTCGTACGTGCGCGTTTGTTTGTATTTGTGTGTTGTGTGCGTTGTGTGTGTGTGTGTTTGGTTGCATGCTTCTCCGCCTAGTCGCTGCGCGCAGGGCCGCGACGCCCAAAAGTGTTGTTGTGGGTGCATATGTATATGTGTATGGTGTGCGTAGGTGTTTGTGTATATGTCTGTTTGCGTGGTGTGTCTGTGTCGATGTCTGTGTCTGTGTCTGTGTGAATGTGTGAATGTGTGAATGTTTGAACGCGTAAATGTGTGAATGTGTAATTGCGTGAATGTCTGGATGCGTGAATGTGTGTGCGTGTGTGTGTGCGTGTCCGTCCGTGTGTGTGTGCGTGTGTGCGTGTGTATATGCAGGCGTGTGTGCGTGTGCCTTTGCGTATGTGCGTGTGTGCGTGTGTGTGCGTGTGTGTTTGCTATGGTGGCATCACTTGGCCGACGGCAGACACCCCAGAAATGCGCCACGCCGGTGCGCCCCCGTGCGCTCCGCGCTGCACCCTTCCCGCAGCTGGGGTCGCTCCGTTGCTCGTCCCCTCTCTCGGCTGCCCCCCTCGAGGCAGCGCCCGCACAGCGTGGGCTCCCCGCCGGGTCGACTGAGCCCCCGGTCGCTTCGGTGCGCTCGGCGGCGTTTCGGGTTCCTCTCCGACACTGCTGGACCGCCTCCACCGCGTCGCTGCGTGCGTGGTCGCGGCGCCAGAGAGTGACGAACGAGCAACACGCACCCATATCCATCGGGGGGTCGCAGGGAGGAGGACTGGCCACGTGTACGGGTGCGGGTTGCCGGTGCCAGACCCTGGGAAAGGCTCCCGTCCGAGCGGGGACCCCCATCCGACAGCACGCACTCACAGCCCCCTCCGTCCCCCCGATGGGTGCGAGTGGCTGTTGTTCGTTCGTCAAGACGGTGCTGCTCCTCCTCGACTGCGCCGACCGTCGCCCCCCCCCCCCGCAGGCCCTGCAGTGCAGCGCTGCCGCCCCTGCCCGCGCGGGCGTGCCGCGGCGTGCCCCTCGTGCCTCCTGCTCTCGCCGCCTCCGTGTCCTTCGTCCGCCGCCGCCTGCCTGCAGTCCGCCTCGCCGCCAGTGTCGGGCCGCGCGTCGCGTGATCACGCGGACGCGGGGCGACGTGCTGCCGAGGGCAGAAGTGTGTGTGTGTGTCTCTGTGTGTGTGTCTGTGTGTGTCTGTGTGTGTGTGTCTGTGTGTGTCTGTGTGTGTGTCTGTGTGTGTCTGTGTCTGTGTGTGTATGTGTCTGTGTGTGTCTGGGTGTGTCTGGGTGTGTCTGTGTGTGTGTGTCTGTGTGTATCTGTGTGTGTCTGTATGTGTGCGTGTGTGTGTGTGTGTGTTTGTGCTTGTGTGTGTGCATTGGCGCATGCATGTCAGAGGTTGATAGACCTCCTGCGCATGCATGTCAGAGGTTGATAGACCTCCTACCCTGACACCTCGGCCGTTTTCGGTTCGCGAGAGGGCGTCGCGGCCGTCATTTTTGCGGGTCCAGGTCCGTCGGTCTCGGTCCTAGGCCGTTTCACTCAGAGGAGGTGTACTAAAGGGAGGTCTGTCCACCGCCGAGTATGTGTATGTGTATGCGTGCACGTGTGTATGTGCGTGCGTGTGCATGCGTGTGTGTGTGTATGTGCACGGGCATGTACAAGGGCATTTGTGCGCGGATGTGTGTATGAGCCATGTGAGCCATGTGGGACCGCTCCCCCCAAGTCGGCGCTTCCTCCGGGTGGCAACATGGCGCCTGCTTGCCCAGGGAAGCGCCGACTTGGGGGTCGGGGCCGGGCCGTCCCCTGGGCGGGAGTGGGCCTGCGCCTGCACGAGGGAGAGGCAGGTGGACTACTCCATTCCGCTCCGCTCAGCTCTGCTCTACTCTTTCTACCCGACTCGGCTCTACCATCTACACTCGTCTATTTTGATCTGAATTAATTACCGTACTCTGCTCTACCCTCTCTTACCTCAGCCTAGCCTACTCTACCCTACTTGACTCTACTCCTCTACTCTACTCTACAACTACCCCGTCCCACTCTTACATATACTCTACCATGCTCTACTCTTACTCTTACTCGTTTGTTCACCAGCATACCCGGTGATGCTCTACCATCTACTTGTCTAGTTGTTTCGAGCATTAATTGTTCAATTATATTATTATCTACTCTATTATATGTTACTCTACCCTATCCTCATGCGTTGCTGGTGTAAGTCCCACTCCGCCACCTGGCCGGACGATAAAGGGGCCACATCCAGGGGTGCCCATCTTTCTTGCCAGAGGGCGAACAACATCAGTGCTGGTCGTCTCAGCACGGGCGTTCTGTGTTGTCTACGCCGGAAAACGCGTGGCAGGAATGGAATGCATCCCGCGCGCGAAGGGCCGACATGCCGCTCTCGCCTCGACACCGCGCTCACCCGGGCTGGACCCAAACGCTGTTTTTTTGCGACCTCGTGGGCCGTTTTCGCTTCGCTTTCTTTGTGCGGTAGAGGCGGACTGAAGACAACACGAGGGACGACGACAACGAGACGTGAACGACAAACACCGTGTAGGTTCAGCCCTCAGCAGCTAATTAGGTTTGCGCGTCGGCCCGGACACCCTGTTCGCCGCCTGCGCTCTTCGCTGGCGGCCGCGACCAAAAAAGTAGGTTCAGCCCTGGCGCTCACTTCTCTACGGTAGGTTCGCGTCGTGTCGACCGGCGGCGACCCCGCCGCCGACGTTCAACGTTGAACGCCGCCGGCGACCCAGAATCGATCGATGTTGAACGATCGGACGTTGCTGCAGCGGCCGATCGTTCAAGGTTGAACGATCCCTGCGGTGTCAAAAACCGACGCTGGGGTCGTCACGACACGAGCCTGCCGTACACCGCTGGAGCTCCCCCTCCCGCGCGGGGCGTATTGTTTCTCCGTCGGGGCGCAGGCTCCGTCGACGCGCGAGCGGTCGATCCACGTCGACGCGCCTCGGTGCGGGTCACACTCTTCGCCTGCAAGCGGCGCGCTCGCCGCCGCACGGCGCACATGTGCTTCACACTCGCCAGTGTTTAAGTCGGGCCTGTCCCTCTAGAGGAGGAGTGCTCAAAAATAGTCAAAGGATAGCCTGGGGACGGTCGTTCGACTAGTCTTGCCTTTCTGGGGGCACTTTTGGGGGACTTTTCTTTCGGGCGTGCGAATCTCCAAGCCAATGGAGTGTTAAGTTCGGGCGTGTAAATCTCTTCTCCCTATTGCCTTACTCAGGAGGAAAAAAACACACAGACACAATTAATCGTCGACTCCCAGGAAAATATGGGAAGTGTGGGGGAGAGAGAGAGAGAGAAACAAAAACCCAGAAGATATGAGGAAACATGGGGAATATTGTTTTCTTTATCTGTTTATTTGTGTGTGCCCCAGGGCCCCTTCACTGGAGTCTGGCGTGTCCCCCTGTGTGGGGGGGGCACGCCCGACCTGAGCCAGTCGTGGGGAGGCCGCGCGAGGGGGCGGCGCGTCGCCCTCGCCCCGCGAGCCCTCCCTGCGCACTCCCTGCGCGCGGGCGCGGCGTGCCCGCCTCGGGTGGCGGCGCACGGCCCGCCCGCCGAGACTCCGCATCTCGGGGCGCTCGGCATGGACACGGAAAGGGCACGGTGCCCAACGGACGGAAGTGCCTGTCCAGATTCGGCAGGACTCGCTGTCCGCGCCGCCGCGGGCGCTGTTCCTTTGTAGACAAACAGGCGCCTGCTCAGCGGCGGCCGGTGTCAGTTTTTGGGGCAGCGTGTGTTGTTAGGCACTGTGCCCATGTTTGTCCGTATCCAGTTCGGGCGTCCAGAGAATCGCATGGAAGCGACAGCGGCAGCGGGGCCGCGCGAGAGCGGGCGAAATTCGGAAACTGGAACACATACACTACCAGTGGCGGGCTGGCTTTCAATCCTGGGACTTTCAGGGGCTCGGGGACGACGCTGGGGTGGTGCGGTGTATACTTTTTCCCCGACGTCCAGGGGAAACAGCAAACAATGTATACACCGGGGTTCCGTATGTTTACGCCAGGATCCGCTCTCCAGTGCAGATGTCAATGCAGGGCCGGAAAAAGCGTTGGTGCATTGAGTTCGATTCTTTGGAAGTGCCGGCCTCGCCCAAGCGCCGCGCAGCCTGCCGGTGAACGTGGCAGTGCTGTGTCAGCGCGCCGCATGCCTCGTCCTCGCCGCGCACGTCGGAAGAGTGCCGGTTCCCGCCCCCTTGTGCGGTCCGCGTCGTGCTGCTCGTGGGAAGCGGGGCCGCGCGCCAGCGCCTGCCGTTTTTGCGAGGCGTGGGCGCGTTCGATTCTTGACGTCAAGTTGTGGCACGATTGGTTATCATGTCGTGGAGGGAGGGTCGGCATAGGCGTGGCCTCGTGGCCCGTTCGGCATTGCTAAGATGGCTCTACTCGTACACCCTCTCTGCTCTACGCCGTTGCGACTCTACCCGTCTCTACTTCACTGCTACTTTTCTCTGTTCTGCTCTACTCTACCCTACTCCGACTCTACGCGGGTCGGCTCTTCCTCTACTCTATTTCGCCGCCTCGATTCTGTTCGGCTCTGCTCCAATCGATTATGCTCTACCCTGCTCAGCTGGCATTATCTAGTATAATATGGTGTGCTCTATCTGCTCTACTCCTGAGTTTCACGATGGTTGGACGATTGTTGGGACGCCATTGTCAGCCACGGGAGGCCTTTGCAATAGCAGAGGAAGCCATTGCAATCGCAGAGGGAACCAGCATAATAGAATAGGGTGCCGTTGCAATGGCAGAGGAAGCCATTTGAGGCAACATAAAGCCATGGCAACAATTTGAAGGCAACGTAGGGCGGAGTAGTGTCCGTGGGATGGAGCTAGGACGTTTCGCGTAACCCCACCAGCCCATCCAGAAGCAATGTTCAGACGAGTTGCATTGATTGGGAATGTGGATGAGCATGCAGTGTAATATAAAGCTTGGCAAGACGTCATCCCCCCAAAGGGGGAGGATGGACGAGGAATCGGAGGAGCAGGAGGAGGAGGAGGAGGGAGAAAGGGAGGAGGAAGGATGAGGAAGAGGAAGATGAGGAAGAGGAGGGGGATGAGTAAGAGGGCGGGCAGCAAAGCCAGAAGCCTCTTGGATTCCTCCCGGAGCCTCTTCGGATGTTCGTTCGAGAGTTTTTTGAGAGTCTTCTTGAGGTGTCTTGGGGGGTCTCGTGGCAGTCTCCGGGGCCTCTTGGGGCGTCGTGGGTGCCTTTGGGGGAGCCCCTTTGGGCCTCTTGGGGTCTCTTGGGAGCCTATTGGGGGCATCTTGGCAGCCTCTTGGGGGCCTCTCAGGGTCCATGAGGACCTCCTGGCACGTCTCGGGGCCGTCTTGGGGCACTCTTGGAAGCCTCGGGGGCCATTTAGGGGCCATCTTGGAGGAGATCGATCAAAGGAGTGGGGGCCCCCCTCAGGAGGCCATCATGTTGCCAAAACCTTGGTTCAACCCATGGTGCTTGTCTTCTCGCCGAGGCCTCTTTGGGAGTTTTGGGTGCCTCTGGGGGGGCAGCCTCTTGGGAGCGTATTGGGGGGCCTTGGGGGACCTCATGGGAAATGTGTGAGGGGTCTGCCGAAATGGGTGGGGTGCCGCAATGCAAACGTAGCCACTGGGGCCCTCGGTGGAGCTCCTTATGGGGCCACGAAACGTGTGATGGGTGTGCCGAAATGGGTGCGGTGCCGCCATGCGAACGCAGCCACTGGGGCCCTCGGTGGAGCTCCCTATGGGCCCACGGCACGTGTGAGGGGTGATGGTGATGACGACGGCGATGATGATGATGATGATGATGATGATGATGATGATGATGATGATGATGATGATGATGATGATGATGATGATGATGATGATGATGACGTTGATGTTGATGATAGCGGTCGTGATGGTGGTGACGATGATGATGATGCTTATGATGAGATGATGATGATGATGATGATGATGATGATGATGATGATGATGATGATGATGATGATGATGATGATGCTGATGCTGATGCTGATGCTGATGCTGATGATGATGATGATGATGATGATGATGATGATGATGATGATGATGATGATGATGATGATGATGACGGGAGGAGGGAGGATAGGGAGGAGGAGAGGAGAGGAGGAAGAGAACGCGGGGCGCTGTCTCTTCACAACGAGGACCCAACACCACAGGATGGATGGGAAAAGGCACGCGCGAAACCGACACATGCACGGGCGAGGGACGTCCGAGCGATTGGCAAGATCACGTGCGGACCCGCAGTTGGCGCCCACGAGCGACGTGCCGTGGAAGCAGGTGCAGAAGTGGCTGCCGCACAGGACGCCAGAGCAGTGCATGGCGCACTGGTACCACGTGGAGCTCCCGATGCTGGAGCAGTACGAGGACCTCAGGGCACCCCTTCATCGAGATTCGAGGGTCGATGTTCGAGCATCGAGGACGTAGGACCTCAGGGCCCCTCTCATCGAGATTCGAGGATCGACGTTCGAGCATCGAGACCGCTGTCCAAACGGTGCTTGCACCAGGGAGTGTTGCTGTTCCTAGGTAAGTCCCGCGCGCTTCGCGCTCGTACTTAACATGCGTGACCGTTCAGCACGAGCATCAAATAGTTCCCTGCCAGCCAGGCTGGTATCGCATGTCTGCCCAATGTAACCCGGGGGTGGACAGAACCCCCAACAGTGACACGTCGATTAGTGAATTGTCCGTTTTCGGTTCTCGAGAGGGCGCCGTGGCCGTTATTTTCCAGGCTTGCGCCCGCCAGGTTTGGGCCTCAGGTCGTTTTCACTAAACCACGTTTTACTAAACGGGGGTCTGTCCATCCCCGAATAACGCAGTGCTCGCGATTGCTTCAACACATGCGTTTTGTCAGACCCCCCCCCCAAGGTCAATCGTCGCAATGCTGGCCACATGCGCGCCCCCCCCGCGGACGCATGTTCAAAGCATTCGTAGACCAACCCCGGTGTAGTAACCATGGCAGTGTCTGTATGTCTGTCTGTCTGTCTGTCTGTCTGTCTGTTTGTCTGTCTGTCTGTCTGTCTGTCTGTCTGTCTGTCTTTCTGTCTTTCTGTCTGCATGTATGTATGTATGTATGTATGTATATATATATATGTATATATACATGTATAGTATATATGTATGAACATCCAGAATACAAATGCATTTAGACATGTGTGTATGTATATACACATGTGGACATCTGCATACATCTACCAGGGGAAGGTGGGGCCCAGCAGCCACGGCCTCCAACCCCTAATGCGGGTCTGCCCCCCCCCCCCAATGGGGGCCTCCTGGGCCGCTCCCCGGGACAGCCCTTGGTGCGTTCCACGAGTACCCTCGATGGCTTCCAGACTGCCCACGACGCCACGAAGAGCACCTGAAAGCGTTCCAAAAGCTCCCCAGGACCGATCAAGATAACCCCCCGGCGGCTCCAGAGGTCTCCAAGACGCCCCGAGAGAGCTTCGAGGGGCCCCCCAAGAGGGCCCCAAGAAGCCAACATTGCCCCTGCCTGCGGCAAACGTGTATGCTTGACACATGTTTCATTCTAGTCTTCACAGCGTCCAAGACGGCCCAACTGCTCCCTCAAGATCGCCCCAACACGGCCACATAGGCCCCCAATGAGAGATCAAAGTTACCCAAGAGAGAGGCTGAAGACGGCCCACGAGGCGCCCAAGAAGGCCCAAGAGAGCCCCGATTGGCATTTAGAGGGGCCCAAAGTGGAGGATTCGAACTCACATGTCGAGCCCTCCGCCCGAAGATGGCCCCCGAGTCCGCCAGCAGGCCCCAACCATAACTTCAAGAGGCCTCTAAACGGCCCCGCAGAGGCCCACTGCTTCCAAGACGCTCACCAAAGAGGCTTCCCAAGAGAGCCGAACAAGCATCCAAGAGGCCTGTGACCCACAATCCAGGCACGGCGGAGGTAGTTTGATTGTTCAGCTTTTACAATTGGCCCCAGGCCACCCCCTAGCGAGCCACATGAGTATCCCAAGAGACAATCTCTGAAAGACAAGCACCACGGCTCAGATATCCCACACATTCACCTCGCGATAGTCACGACAGTACCAAGCTGTCCAACGACAGTTCCTGAAAGACCCAAGGAAAGCCGAAAGGGACCCCAGAAAACCAGGATGGAACCCAAAGGCTCCCAACACGCTACAACATTTCACAAATATAGCTTCGACATGGAAGTAAACCTCCTCCTCCTCCTCCTCCTCCTCCTCCTCCTCCTCCTCCTCCTCCCCCTTGTCATCGTCGTCGTCACCCTTGTCGTCGTCGTCGTCGTCCCCACGGGGGGGAGTCTGAAACTAGACAATCTCAAGTCGTCGGAGGCAGGAGACATAGGTGCACGGGGGAAGAGGAGAAGGAGTGGGAGGAGGAGGAGGAGGAGGAGGAGGATGCGGAGGAGGAGGAGTAGAAGGAGGAGGAGAAGAATGGAGAAGGGCAACCAGGACCCGGCGTCGCCGCAGCCCGCGCGCCGTGAAGCACCCAAGACGCTTCGACCTCACGATCCAGGTAAGGGGTGTGCCGGCATGGGCGGGGCGGCGGGATGCGAACATTAGCGCTGGAGCTGTCGGTGGAGCTCCCAGAGGTACGGTCCGTGTGAAGAAACAAGCAGCATACATGGGGGACGTGACGTTATGCGATTCCTCCCACCAGTGCCGCACGTGAAGCTACATCCCTCTGGGGCACGATTCGCGTGAAGGGTGTGCCGATATCGGAGGAGGGCGAAACCATGCACACCGGGGGCTCACGGGGGGAACCCGAGAGTGGAGCTCACGAGGGGGCACGATCCGTGAGGACCGTGCCGAAATTGGTGGTGGGACGGTTTGTTAACTTTGCCTTCCTCTGGGGCCTTTAGTCTCGACTCAATCCGCGCGATTGGTACCTTATCATTTTCAGTTCTAACCATGTGTGGGTCATGACGTCAGTGGAGCTGTCTGTGACCGAATCGCACCACCCAGTAAGTGTTAATGGTGATGAGGAGGAGGAGGAGGAGGAGGAAGGAGGAGGAAGGATGCAAAGCAGGTTCTTCAGAACCCTTCTGGTATGTCATGAGTGTCTGCGCCCGGCTCGCATCGGAAAGAAGGAAAACGCAGGGTACGGGGCAGACAGAGACGCCGGGGCTCGGTGAGGGCCCCCAGATGCCCTGCATTTTCCACCAACTAGCGACCAGAGCGGCCTGACAGGGCCGAAGGCGCCCGAATACTGCTTCAAGACGGCTCAAGAGGCCCCAGAGACGTCGAAGGCTCAACATGCGCCCCGAGAGGGCCCCAAGAGGCCAACATTGTTCATCTTCTAGGGGGACGGTGCGTTCGTAGCATATTCGCACTTTGGCTTTGAACAGCGTCCGAAACGGCCCAGGAAGCCCCACAGATCGCCCCAAGACGGCCTAAGAGGCCTACAAGAGAGCCACAGGACGGCCCAAGAAAGCCCCAAGACGGCCCAAGAGGCTCCCAAGATTGCCAAGAGAGACGCAAGAGGAGTCCAAGAGGGGAACTCCAACTGACACGTCGAGCCCTCCGCCACGAGTGGGCCCCTGAGGCCCCAGCAGGCACCCAAGAGGCCCCGGATGGCCCCCAGAGATGCCCCACGAGGCCCCCGCATGGCCCCCATGAGGCCACATGAACTCTCAACACTCGCTCAGGCGCCCGAGAAGCATGCCAAGAGACTCCGAATTACAGGTATCCACGGACCTTCTGGTCCAAAGATCAGGTACAGCAGCAGCATGGGCCGAAGGCCATAGATAAGCAAGCAATTGGTTTGGCGACGGACCCGTCCCTTTGCAGCCATGTCTAGCGCAGGGTTTTGGGTCTCTCTGCACACTTGCGCACTGCCGGGCAATGCGGAAAGATGGTTGTTGTGGAGCAAGCGCCCACGGGTGTGCTGAACGCTTGAATTCTTTGTAGGGCACGATCCGCGTGAAGGGTGTGCCGAATGATTTGGATGTCCGGGGAGCACGCCCCCATTGAGGCCACAGGTGGACCTTCGCCAGGCACGACCCGTGCGAGGCATGTTCCGAAATGGGCGGGGGGACGCCATGCGAAGGTGTCCATAGTGCTATAGGTGGAACTCCTTCTCGGGCATAGCTCGCGTGACGGGTCTGCCAGGAGCGCTCCAGGGGGGGCGCAGTGAGAACCTTGCATTTGGGACCGTAGGTGGAGATCCCTGTGTGCCACGATGCGTGTGAGAGGTGTTCCAAAATAGACGGGAGGGCGGGATGCGAATCTTGTCTCTTGGGCCGTCCGTGGAATTCCTTGCGGGCCAAGATCCGTGTGAGAGGTGTGCCGAAGTGAGCGGGGCGACGCTATGAAGCTTCACCCTGGTGCCGCACATGCAGCTATCTGCGGGGCACGATCCGCGTGAGGGGCGTTCCACTATGCGGTGGAGCTCCCTGTAGGGTGCGAGCCCTGTGAGGGGTGTGCCGACAAGGGCGGGGGAACGCTAGCCAATATTGTTTTGGGGGCTGGGGCCGCAGGTGGAACTCCCTAAGGGGCACGACCTGTGGGACAATCGTTGTCTTCCAATACCGAACACCTTAGAGCTTGCTAGAATTTTAGCGCACACACACATCTATGTGTATGCCATGTATACATGTAGATGTATGTGGGCATATGTATATATATACTCATAAACATATGTATATCTGTATGTGTATATATATATATATATATATATATATATATATGCGTATGTAAAATTGTACATATGCATACATACACATATATATATATATATATACACATAAATTCCTCTTCTTATATTTTTATAAGCCCGGGCGGGGGGGAAATCCGTTCCCCCCCCTAAAAAAAAACGGTCTCCCGAGATCTGGGGCTTTGAGACCCTCCAGACGGGCCTCGAAGCGGTCACCGGGCCTCACATGGCGTTTTGCCAAGCCTTCCCAGCACACCTAGGGCGATCAGGGGGGTCATCGGAGACGTCCCAGAGACCCCCAAAACAGCACAAGAGCGCTCTAAGAGTGACCGACGTGACCTCAAGATGGCCCAAGAGGCCTCCAGGACGGCCCCAAAGAGGCCTCCAAGAGCACTCCCAAGAAGGCCCCCCGAGGCAAAAATCATTGATTTTCTGTGGGTACTTGGTGAATTTTAGGGTTCTCCTCTTTTCGGCTTCCCGACGCTCCAAAACGGCGGTCTTCTGGGCGTCCGAAGCCGCCTGGGAGGCTCCAGAATCGCCCCACAACCATCCGAAAGGGCTTCCAGGCAGTCCAACGGATCCCCAAAACTGCACAACACGGGTCCAAGATGGCCCTCAGAGAGCCCCATGGCGGCCCAAGATGGCCCAAAGACACCCTCCGAAGAATTCCAAATCGTGATTCGGTCGTTCAGGGAGACCGCGGTTGGAGGCAGGGTGGCCCGAGGAAGCCCCCGGAG